TAAATTACAAATTTCCAATCTTTATTAACTATTTTGATATTATATTGCTCACTTGAATATGTATCAAGTGTATGTGTATTGCTTACTTTTAAAATTAAAGGTAACAACGCAGCGCAGTTACTTACATATGTTCAGAAACATGGAAGGGAAATTATAGAAACAAACCATGTATCATCTGAAGGAAATCTTAACATACTTTCTTCTGTTTCTTCTCCGGATCTGCAGTTCCACCGATACAATAGGGCCAAACCAGACTCTAAAAGATGGAGATATATTAGTCTCGAGTGGACAAGCCTTTGCTCTTGGTTTCTTCAGCCCTGTAAAATCCAGCAATCGATATGTTGGGATTTGGTATAACGAAGTTCCAGAACAAACAGTTGTATGGGTTGCTAATCGCGACAATCCCATTAATGGGTCCTCCGGAGTTCTTGCAATTGACCCTGCTGGAAATCTTGTTTTGTCCGATGGAAATCACAATCTTTCTGTCTGGTCAACTAATGTGACGTCAATGATTCTGAAAAATTCGCCTTCAGCTCAGCTCATGGAGACAGGAAACTTTGTGCTGTTTCAAGATCAAAGCAGAAGTGTTATTACATGGCAAAGCTTTGATTATCCTACTAATACTTTATTACCTAACATGAAAGCAGGGTGGAACAGAAGGACTGGATTGAACGCGTCTTTCACATCCTGGAAATCTCGTGATGATCCCGGAACTGGTAACTATGCATTGAAAATAGAGTTTACTGGCACGCCCCAGTTTTATTTGTTAAAGGGTACAAACAGGTTATGGCGAACCGGACCCTGGAATGGGCTTGGATGGAGTGGTATGCCAGAAATGGTTTCAAATTTCATCTTCAAAATTTTTTATGTTGAAAATGATGATGAAGTGACTATAACATACTCTATAAAAGACCCATCAATCTTTTCAAGATTGGTGGTAAATGAATCTGGGACTCTGGAACGGCTTACTTGGCAAGGAAATGAGCGTGGATGGGCAAGATTTTGGTATGCACCCAGAGATCAATGTGACAGTTATGCACACTGTGGAGCGTTCAGCAGTTGTGACCTATTCAATTTGAGTGACTTTGAATGTTCATGCCTTCCAGGATTTGAGCCCAAGCTAGAACGTCAATGGTACCTACGGGAAGCATCACATGGATGTAAAAGAAAGCAAGGAGAAAATATTTGTGGTAATGGAGATGGATTTAAGAAGGAGATAAATGCGAAAGTCCCCGACGCTTCAATTACACATGTGAATAAGAGTTTAGAACTGAAAGAATGTCAAGAATTGTGCCTAAAAAATTGTTCATGCACAGCTTTTGCAACTGCTAATATCAGTGGAGGAGGAAATGGTTGCATCACTTGGCATGGAGCCCTGGTAGATATCAGGCGCTTCCCAAACAGGGGCCAGGATTTGTACATAAGAGTTCCTGCTGCAGAGATAGGTATTCACTATAAATTATTTAAGTTGAGTCTAATATTGATTTGCGACTGAATTCCCCAAAACAGACATATATATCGAGAAGTACAAATACAGGTAACAGGATTTTACACATTGCACTGCAGAAAGATCGCCCAAGTTATGACAATTTCAAGTAATCGTTATTTCCAGCTACAAATAAACATGGTTGCAGAGAAGTTCACTAAACTAGTGCAGTTTGCATCCCTAGAAATCGTTATTTACATTATTCATTCTCAGAAATTCAAGAAGAGGATAGAATGATAATTTCAAATATCCGAAGATTGCCAATTTTTATTTTCACTTTTTTGAAAAGATTCCAAATAAGTAAAAAGTAATTTAAATCTTTCCGCTCAATAAAAGTCCTCTATTTTCAGTTCAGGGTACGAGGGACTCAAAAGGCTTTCGTGGGAAGAGATTGATGACAACTGTGATCGTGTTAAGTTTAGCAATGCTTCTCATACTCTTCTTAGCATGCTGGTTGTGGAAGAAGAAGAGAAAAGGTAAGAAACAGTTCCTCTTTTATCTTACCCAACATCTTGATACCAATACTTGGAAATTATCATACCTGTTTGATAATAGCATTTAAAGAGCCTCTTTTGCTCTGTTTAATCTATCTAACTTTGTGCCCTTATGCAAAACAGACTTAATAGTATTTTTTATTATTTATTTATTTTTTTATTTTTTTTGAAAAGACTAGAGGCTAATAACTAGAAATGAGCCATGAAGTTGGCTACAGTAATGTGTTTAATGCTACGTATAGTATGAAAAAAAATACTTCTTTATTTGGCCATCAGGTAAAAATTCATTTTTCCATGTGTATCCATTCACCTGAACAAACAATATTGAGATCTTACAGCAAGATGCCAGCCATTAATATATGATTATCGGCCTTCCATGTTGACAGGTACAGAAGGACAGAGAAAGCGTCCATTTAACTTTAACATGGGTTTAACATCCTATGGCAGTAGGGCAGAGGAGATGGAAGGTAGCGGAACAAATGTTGAAGTGCCAATCTTGGATCTGAGCACCATTGTTTCAGCCACTGAAAATTTTTCTCTGGCTAATAAACTTGGAGAAGGTGGCTTTGGTGCAGTTTACAAGGTATATTCTCTCAGAAATTGAACAATCTATTCCTCTGGCCATAGTTGCTTGATTTATTCCGTTATGATTTTTTATGGCATTTGGAGGATGTATAACTAGGTAGTTCTAGTATTAGTTGTAGATTTATTAGGCCTAAATATGTCAAACTTTTCCATTAATTGTGAAATATTGAACTATAAATTGGATTTTAGGGTCGGCTTCCCAGTGGGCAAGAGATAGCTGTCAAAAGACTGTCAAAAATATCAGGACAAGGGAATGAAGAATTCAAAAATGAAATCACGCTGATTGCAAGACTCCAGCACAGAAATCTTGTAAGACTTTTGGGATGTTGCATTCAACAAGATGAGAAGATGTTAATATACGAGTACCTCCCAAACAAAGGCTTAGACTATTTTATCTTCGGTATGCCCATTCCCGATTTGCACATCATAATAGCATTTAAGCTCATGCAGCGTAGGGCCGGCCCACAGAATTTATAAGCATAACGATATTTGAATATTTAAATAATAATATTTTTATTAAAAACGAAGACTTTATGAAATTTACAAGATAGAGTAACAAAATAAAACCTCTCTCACAACTCGAGAGATTATAAGCACTTCCTATTTATTTAGTGACTTGATGGGTTTTGGACTAGGGCGGGTTTTGGGCCTATTTATATTTTTATGAGGCCCCTTGAAATCTTGAGGCCCAATGCAGTGGCTTAGTTTGCCTTGGGCCAGGGCCGGCCCTCCGCCTATGTGTTTCAATATCTCACTGATGAATTTTTGAATTTTAACTTTTAGACTGGAAATTATGATCTTAAACTTTGTAAAACATATTACTCACGCATAATCTTCAAAATTCTACTGGCCCAGATGAAGCAAGAAGATCACTTATAGACTGGAGTAAACGATTTGAGATCGTCTTGGGAATTGCAAGAGGGATGTTATATCTCCATGAAGATTCCAGACTAAGAGTTATTCATAGGGATTTGAAAGCTAGCAACATCTTACTAGACACATCCATGAATCCCAAGATATCAGATTTTGGTCTGGCAAGGATTTTTGAAGTAGGCCAAGATAAAGCGAATACAAGTAGAGTAGTTGGAACCTAGTAAGTAATACTCACAACTATTTTTGCAGACAAATGACAGAGAAAAATGAATTAAAGGAAGAGAAATATCCAAAACTGATTGGTGAATATGGAATCAAGTCTTGACTTATTTGTATGTATGATTGCAGTGGTTATATGTCACCAGAATATGCAATGGAAGGGCAATTCTCAATAAAGTCTGACGTTTACAGTTTTGGGGTTTTGCTGTTGGAGATCATCTGTGGCAGGAAGAATAGCAGTTATTTTGAAGACAATACCGTTAATTTGATTGGATATGTAAGCGTTTGGATCTTTAATATCTAAACAGAATCATTATTTCATTGTCAAGTTATGCTCCAAAAAATTCTTAGGGCTTTATAGAAGGATGAAGGCGTTTATTGGAATTAAAGAGAGTCAAATTATTGAAGGTAAATACAACTGATTTTCATCACTTTGTTTCAGGTTTGGGACTCGTGGAGAGAAGAGAGAGCATTGGATGTAGTAGATTCATCACTCGAAAACTCTTATGAAGCCAATAAAATTTTGAGGTGCATGCATGTTGGTCTTCTGTGCGTGCAAGAATATGCTCCTGATCGGCCAACAATGTCAGAAGTACTTTTCATGCTATGCAATGAAACAACTCTTCCTTATCCTAAAAAACCTGCATTTATCTTCAAGAAAGATAACACTACTCTATACTCATCATCAGCTAGTGTAGAAAACAGATCTGTGAATGATATGTCAATTACTGTGGTTGAACCTCGCTAAACGGCTTCCCGTAAATACTTTTCCCTTTTAATTTTCAGTTCAAGGGGTGTGTACGAGCCCAAAAAGAGGCAAAATAAAATAAAAATTTGTAGCAGTTTAAATTTTCTTTGATGTGGCACTATTGATGCATAAAATGTATTGTATGTAGTTGTCTTTCTATTTAGCTTACCCAATTTTGTGCTTACAACTTATATTTACTTTTCTCTGTCATATGTCATCACCTTCGAATCATGATGCACTCTGGTTTGGCAGTCTTGAAGAAGTGGTTTTTTTTTAATTTAATTATTTATTTTTTTTGGGAAAAACTTGCATGATATAGGGTTATAGTCTAAGGTACCTCCTCCCATACGTGAATTTATTGTAATCGAAATTTTTAGGAATTTCCACATTCAGGTTGAAAGTGTGGATTTATGAGCTTTGGACGTAACTGGGCTGGTTTCCTTAACTGCCAAAGTGCCCTTCTCTTTCTTATTCCTTTGCTTTACACAAATGTAAGAGTTCTGTACTAAAAGGTCTTCCAGGCACACTCTAAGGCTCTTTACCATAAAAATTTTTGATACTTAGGAATTATGTGAATTCAGTAGTTGAAGTCACCTATCTAGTGCTCTAATTATTCGCCCAACAAACACATTATGTTAACAGTACGCAATATTTGAACGTGGAATAGTAACTATCTATTGCCAGGGAAACAAGAAATAACGCCGTGGAGAAACTTCAACCAGGAACTGGTATGTGTGGACTGTGGATTCTGGCATTTAAGTCTGTTTCTAGAATAACAAAGACCAGAGCGCTAGTTTAATTGGTAAATGTAGCATTCTTATAGGGATAGTTTGGAAAATTACTATAGAAGCATTTTGTCGAACATTTGGACCAACTGAATAATAAAATTCTCTGAAGAACACCTATTTGAAGAACTTTCCTTACATTAGTCATGAAGACCTCATTAAAGGTGAAAACTGCAAGAAAAGAATTATTACTAACTAGTAGTTACATCAGGAGTATATTTTGTTTTGAAGAAGAAGAATCTTGCATTCTAGTAATCCAGTTTCTATTATTTCTTTCGGGTCAATTCACCAAGAGCTCCTGTTTGGCCTCCATTTTTGGGGGTTGAAAATTTCTAGAATAGTGATTGATGGGAGAATGTGTGGTTGAAAAGTTTTTGATTTGTGTGTAATATTATTTTATTTTATGAATGTGTGGTTGAAATGAAAAGAGAGAAAAAATTAATGTAATGGAATTTTATTTAATGGGGCTCAAACGGGGGCATTGTGATCAATGGAAGTCCTCAATTTTCTGCACAGAATACAAGCAACTCAAAAGGCTTTCGTGGAAAGAGATTGACGACAACTGTAAATGCGTCAATTGTAGGAATTCTTCTCATACTCTTCTTAGCATGTTGGTTGTTGAAGAAGAAGAGAAAAGGTATAAATTGTGTTCCTCTTTTACCTTCCCCCTCAATTTACTAATGCAAACCCCTTAACAGTAAACTTGACATTTCGAAATGAACTTAGTCAATGCCTCCTTGATACCAATTGATGCTACCAAAAATCATACCTAGCCGTTTCCGAGCTTGACGACTGTTGATGAGCACGAACGTGATCCTTCGGTACCTGAAATAAAGGCGACGAGGTCCCCTTCAATGCTTAAGTTAGATAGGAAATTTTGTGTGTAAGGCTATATGCTGTAAAATAATGTAGAACGTACCTGAATATTGAATTTGGAGCCTTCATATATATGGCTAAATGGCAGAATCCTTGCAGGAGTGAGTAGTGCACTCCTGATAGGATTGAAACTGTTCAACGTCCTTATTTCTAAGAATCCTAACGGAGATAGAGTCCTTCTTGGTATAGGAATCCAACTGGTGAATTTAGGGTGATGTTAGAGTCCTTGGTGAGGTAGGACCCCTCCATGTGGTTAAGTACGAAGATGCGTCACAAAGGATGGCCTCAAGTAGTGGCCTATTCCTCGAGGGACATTCTCGAGGAATGTGCCTAGAGCACGTATTAGCAACAAGCATAAGCGGGTGCAGAGAGAGTAATCGGGGGAGTGTTCTCGAGGTAGGGGGACATAGCTCGAGGACCCCTCCTCCAATTATGGAAGAAGTGGTCCATTAGAGTCCTCGAGAAAACTCTTCGCATGGAGTCCTCGATACTGTTGGGCCTCATTCCTCGATACTGGTGGGCCTCGTTCGTTCAAAAAAGGCCCACACCACCAATATTTGTAAATTTTTATGCCAGTTAATTTGAAAACCATAAAAAGAATTAGTGAAATGTAAAAGGGTTCTTTTTAATCTATTTACCTTTTCAGTTTTAACTTTCATACCCTTTAGGCAAGACAGATTTGTCAGTTTTTTTCTGGGTGTACTAAGAAGGCTTATAACTGACGATGGACTACAAAGTCTTGAGGCATACAACCATTTCAACAACAGCTACTATAAATTGTTTAATACTACATAGCTAGTATGAAAAAAAATAACTAATTGTAATGGGTTGCTGAAATTTGGAAGACCAACAATTGATCCAATCTGCTGATTTTTTATGGTTGATAACCCGGCCCAAATTAATGATCCAAATTGAAGTTGAAGGTTCGAAAAATCTGAATAAAACGTGTGTTTGTCACACGCCTTTAGTATTGAATGGTCACTTATCTGGATGGATGACACGTGGTGTGTTGGCTACCGTTAGATGGAGGATTGCTTCTTTTTGATATAAATACTTGCAATATCTCATTAGGGTTTCATTCGGAACGCTAGCAACTCTTTCTCTCGTTTTGTTTGCTTCGTGTACTCTCTGTAATTTTCATCTTCTGGATAATTTGAGTGTAGTTTCTTGAATAGAATCTGAGGTGCTGTTAATTGATAGTAGTGCTCCTCTCAGTGCGAGTGATTGATATCCAATTTGTGGGATCTTGAGAGTTCGAGTGAGAGAAAAATTTGAACATTTTGTGTTCTTCTGTAATTGATACCTTTTGCTTGTGTTTTGGGGTTGTGCTTGTAGATTCAAGCTTAGTCTAACGAATGCTCAATGGGAGACTAAACATTAGAAGCGATCGCTGAATCTCTGGGGCTAAGGCAAAAAATTCTCCTATGTTCTTTACGTTTCTTGATGATTATTTCATTTCTTGCTAAATCGTTTGAATAACAAAAGTTTGAGTCACAGATCTGGGACAAACGATGGTATCAGAGCTTCAAGTTGTGACTCTTCTAGTTCACTACAAGTATCATATCTTAAATGATATGTAGATATTCTTCAAGAAAGTTTTTTGGTCCAAACTTGGAGTGAATGTTCTGGTATTTTTGAGTATTTCTTTCGAAATTGAAGTTTCTAGTGACGAATTTCTTAACCACTCTTCCTTAACTTTTCAAAACTAAAGTCACTTTTTTAAATGATTTCTGAAAACCCCCTAAATTTACCTTTGTCTAGGGGTCCTCGGAGAACCCTAAAATCTTAAGGAATTAGGGTTTTTGGCCTAAGGAAATCTAACCGATGATTATCTATTTGTTTCTTGAAAATTATATCCTGCTACTTCATATGTGCTGTAATATGTTAAAGTTGGGTTCTATATATATATATATATTTGTTTAACTGTAATATCATGTTAATCTGTGTGTTAATACTCATACTTTTTATCTCTGAATACGCTTCTTGGTGGAAATAAATTGTAAATAGATGCTTTAAATTTTTATTGTTTACTGAGTGAGGGCATATTTTTGGCATTTATACAGTCTGTTGTATATTTTTTGCCTATCTTTTACTGTAATCCTTCGATACATATTCCCGATTTTGTGATTTATTCACCTAAATTGATCTGTGTGAAATTCTTGTTTCTTGTCTATAATTGTGTGAGCATTATCACTATACTATTGCACAGCATGGCCACTAGGATAGATGTTTAGATGTGGGATGGCAAACAAGACTTTAGTCTTTGGTACCAGAAGATGAAAGCCCGTTTGCTACAATTGAAATGTGCTAAAGCCATTGATGAATCTTGACCAGAAAACCTATTTGCTGATAGGAAAATTAAACAAGAAGAATAGGCTTGGAGCACTATGTTTCTCCATTAATATGATTATGTAATCAGAAAGGTGGGTGAAACTAAGACTTCCATTGAATTGTGGACAACCTTAAAGAAACTTTATTTCACTAAGTCTCTGCCTAACAAGTGTTTTCTTTGGAAGTAATTCTTCAGTCTTAAGTTTGATTCTAGTGTTGATTTAGAACAAAATTTAGATAGATTTAATAGAATCACCCAAGATCTTATAAACTGTGGTGAAAATATCTCTGCTGATCAGAAAATAGTTGGTCTAGTTAATGCACTTGGAGTAAAGACAAAAATAATACCTTAGAATATGTTTGAGATGATGTGACTGATGAAATTATTCATAGTTTACTAAAGAATAGAGAGTTGGAATGAAAATCAGAACAATGGGAGGTTCTACATGCAGAAAATTCTTTATCAAACACAAATCTTCCACCTAAATGGGTGAGTAATTTCATTCAAGCAAATTATATTAGAGATAAGAGTTTCACTAAGAACAAATGGGGAAATAGCAAAGGAAAAGAGACAAGAAAGTTTATGAGGAAAGGCAAAGAGTAAGAAGTGCTATTACGGTGGGAAAATGGGGCACTTCATCAAAGACTATTTTAAGAAAGCAAATGATCAAATGAATGAGTCTAATAATGAAAATGGCTCTTCCACAATTGTTGCTTCCTATAAAGAAGCAGTGACTAGTATTGGGGTGGCTTGTGTGTCTTCAATTGGAAAGGCTGACCAAAATTAGGTTCTTCACTGAGGCCGCTCCTTTCGTATGAGCCCTAATATTAGCTAGTTTTCTGACTTCTCTAGATTTGATGGAGGTTTTGTAAAATTAGGGAACAATGAGTTATGCCAAGTAAAAGGCATTGGCAACATTGCTCTAAGATTGAAAGATGGTCGGTTGATGTTGCTGAAACATACTAGGCATGTTCCAGCACTTAGAAGACATCTCATTTCCTTGGGGG